CCCCCCCCCCCCCCCCTCAAATCCCCGTCTTATGACCTCCCCGCCCCTCCCCCTTTGCCGTGATTGGTTCATATAGGATAAGCACATCATCACATCCTCTAATTTCATCACCTTTTCTCTTATTGCTTCATCTTTTTATATGTTGAATATTCCCTCTGTATTTTATTCCAGATTACCATTTTTATTTACATCTGTCATTCAATATATATATATTCTCCAAATCTTCTTGTGGCATTGTTGTTTATGGAGTATCGTCACTCGTCGTATATTATTTATGGTGGGAAATACTCGACGCATTACAGTAAAATAACACTAAAATCCCACGCATGTTTCTCCTTTGTTTTGTCTGCTTACGCAACGTAATTAAGGTCATAATCCACTTACAAGATGGATGCTAAAGTTAATTTATTGTTTAGGTGGGTTCTTGTTTAGTCATTAGTTTAACTCGTTCGTCAATAAGAAAGATAAATCTTTAACAAGATTAGAGTAGTTTAGAATAACACGAACAAAACAGTATTTCAAGTATTGTCACCAAAGTAAGGTTCCTATAGTACAATCAATCCTAAAGTTGCAGAAACTGTTGCCAAATTTGCAACCAAAAGACGTGCCACAGTGAACCATCTCTATCCCCTTTGGAACACTTACCAATCATGAACGTCCACATCATTGGTGCAACTTAACCTAAGCAAAGTAATTATCGACTATTGATTGCTCAGTTGGTCCCTTACCTTTTAATTAATTAAGAATATCTGGAAACTATAAGAAGTGGATCTAAGCAAATCATCTACAGAATATAGGTAAATAGAATTCGTAATTATAGGAATGATTAAGAGGGAGGGTTCTCTAAGCATCGAGAGCCACAAGCATTTGTCCTTGTTCCACCAAACACTGGCATCTAATTTGCTAATGACAGAAAATGCACTTGCATTATGTGGGAAATGCGCAATTAATTGTGTTTGTGAGAGCTTATGATCGTCATCTTTGAACCCAACTCAACAAATTGCGTAGGCACTTGTCAACTTCAAAGCTTTTGGTGTCTCCATTAGTATAGATTAATTATCCCACATGATCAGTTTCGGGGTTAGTTAACCCCATGGTTAAATTAGACGTTTGAGTGTAGGACTTAAAATCTTTACGCAATCTATTAGACGTTGCGTAAACGTTTTTATTAGAAGAATTACATCAAAATTTATATTAAAAAGTCAAGTGCTGTGTGCTTCTCTAGAAAGCACTTTTATGTTTTACAAGTAGTTTTTCTATCAAATGATGTTAAACACACTTTTTTGGTTATCAGAAAATATTTTCAACCATTACATAAGCAAATCCCAACCGGACACTAACTCTAGAAAAATATCATTTGAGAATAGGGTGATGCATATTGAGAGAGCAAACCAAAGCCACTTATTAAAAAGCCAAAGCTTTAGAAAAAAAGGTCTTGAGTTGAATGAGTGTCCTTTTGATTGCACTTGTGAGGCCTATTTTATTGTCTTCTCCAAATTTTATTTTGGAATGAAACATGTGTGTGTGTATATATATATGTATATGTTGGTGACGTCTCACCCGTGGGCACTGCGCATGGGACAATCTAAATTGTGAAGTGTGGTGGCGACTAGTGTTAATACATATGGCTCATCTGCATCCATGGAAATGGAAACAATAATAAGTTGGAGTTTTTCTACAAAAATCTTCAATCTTTCTCTTTTTATATTTCAACTTTTAATTCCCTAATAATTACTTTAATTCCATTAACTTTTTTAGGTGCTAGTGCTTGTCAATTTAGTTTACCCTTTTGGTTTCAGAAAAGAAAAGGGCTGATTATCAAATTCAGAGCATGCAAACTCATTTATCATGTATTGTATTGTATTCTATGGAAAGGTTAGAAACTCACACCAACCAATCATAACAAGACAACAATAAATAATATTTATAACTTGGCAAAAAATAAAAATAAAAAGATTGGTTTTGAGTCCAAAAGTGAATCAAAATAACAACTAGGTGAATTGATTTCAGGAAATTGCCATGGTGACAAACTTTGTTCCTAACTAGGAGAAACAAAAAAAAAAAGAAAAAAGAAGAAAAAAAAGAAGGAATAATAAAAACTTATCAAATGCTTGTCCCTGCTGTACATGCAGAGTAGCAAAATCCCATCTAGCTTCTGAGAACATTAATGTTGGATCTGCTTTCTATGTTATGCCCACAAGGCCATGACTGACATTCCTCCTAGCCCTAAAAGAACTGCAAGGTAAGACAACATTTGGAGCTTGGGTTTGGCTTGCAATTTAGGACCCATGAAATCAGCTGCTAGGAGATCCACCAGAGCCATGTAGTTCAGCAGCCCTGCAGATGCAGCATTCAGCAGCCCTACCACAATTAGGGCTGTTGGGCTGTCCTCACTGTATACATTTGACAAACCAATTCCTAGCGCTATACCAAATGGTGTTGTGACTGAGAAGAAGAACACCATGATTGATTTTATCTTCAATCCATATTCAGCCTGCACCAACATTCATCATATAATATTCATTTCAAACATGTCCTAATACTAATTAATTTACTTTCCATAGATTAATAATTAATAATAATAATCACCTGTAGTATGCATCCACCTAGACCCATTCCTTCAAAGAGTTGATGGAAACAGAGGGCAGCAATGAGTGGTCTGATTGTGCAAGGATTGTCTGATGCCCCCATTGACAGCCCAATCACCACTGAGTGCACCACAATGCCTAGTTCCAACACCTGCATCAACAGCCCAACTCTAGATTAGAGGCCTAAACACAATGCAATATAAAACCCTATAACTAAACCCAATGCACAAATTCACGTCATAGCTCAACTGGTTAAGAGCGTTTCATACTCACAACTACTTATATACCTGTGCCACAACACGATATCTCAGCAACTGTGTGTCCTTGCCATTGAGTCCACCCTCATTCTTAGTGTCTTGGACGTGGCCATGACCATGACCATGACCAACATGTTCCAATTGAGGGGTAACATTTTTGGCATTCTCCTCATCTCCACTGCGAGTAGCTGCAGCGAAAGCTTTCCTATAATGGCTCATAGAAAATGAGTCCACCATGAGAGTCAGCACAGCCGAAAGCATGGCCACGAACGTCGTGAACGGGAACTTCTTCCACGGCTTTTCGGGCAAACACACCGACGTCAAGCACTCAAACGAGTCGGGCAGCACGTGCATGTACCCTGTCGCGAGTATGACACCGGAGGCGAAAGCTTTGACGATGGAGAACAAGTCCTTGTCTGGCTGGAGAGCCGGAACTGAGCGTGAAAATAGTGGCAGGCAGACGCCGATCAAGCTAAAACCCAAAATGGAAGCTATAGCAATGAGCTTCAATTTCAGTGCTTGTGCTTTGTCATGGCACGCTCCTTTTGATTTGACCCCACATTGCTCTGATTGGTCCTGTACCGCTACTGCAGATGCATCGACCGCTATGCTGATGAGGATGATGAGGACGGTGAGGGCACGGAGCTTGGAAGAAGCCATGGCAAGCGGTGCTAAAGCAGTGATGTTGTGGGAGTGTGATACTGAAGTTGTTGGAGGGGAGCTGATTGAGATGTGAATATATATATTGGTTGGGGTAGAGTTTTAAAGGTGGAAGACTTTCTGGTGAATGTCCGGAATGCCCTTGGTGGGAGTTTTTGAGAAGAGTTTGTGGTGGTGAATTTTGGGAGAAGGAGGGGTAATTTGGAGGCGTGGACTTGGGTGAAGAAAAATTGTGGCGGGCGTGTGCTGAGAGTTTGGCCCTAGCAGAGTTTGACTGAAAATTTTATGCCACGTCAGCAGTTGGACTCGTCCTAGTCAGCCTCCTCTATGACGTGGCATATTTCCAAATGAGGACAGGCTTTGCTGAACTTAACCCACCACGTGTATTAATGCGGATAAGCACATGATACAGATCACTTAATCTAATAGTTATTTAATTCATCATAAACACTTTAATAAAATAATAAATATAATTATGTTTTTAGCTTTAACTAATAAATTTTGAAATCTCACAATTTTTCGGAAAATAAAAGAAATATGAAAATTTCAAAGGATATTAAATTCGAAAATTTTAATTCAAGTTGGCAATTGGATATGCTTATCTTCTGCTTAAAAAAAAAAACTAACAAACTTCGAAAAGAGTTAAGCTATTGATCCGATTGGGCCCAACAAGAAGATCCAACTAATGGGCTAATTCCCAATTCTCAAGCCCTAAAAATCAGACGGTATAGAAGAGCCATGCACCGATCCAATCGAAGCCCATTCTCTCTCCGATTATGAATTTACAACGGTTACCAGTTCAGAAACAGTCTCCTTATCTTCTTCCTCTTTCACCTCTATCATCCTCTCTCTCTCTCAAACTTCACTCCCTTTCTCTTCTTTTCCAGTCTCCCTCCTCAATGCTATTATGCTCTTACTCACCAATTCTCTCTCTTTCCTTCCTTACAAGAGGTCTTTCTCTCTCCCAGACGCAATGCGCTCACTACCGCCACCACCGCCTTTCCCATTCCTCAACCCAAACTCCCGCCATTTTCGACTCCCTCCAAACCCTAATTCCAATGTCATTTCTCGTTTCCCTTTCCTTTATTTTTCACCGTATTATGGATTTTGTGTATGATCTTTTTGTTCTTTTTTGGTTTTTAGGTTGTTCGAGGAGTGAGATTCGACGGCCCGGTAGTCGAAATCGGCCAAGTATCGCAAACCGAAGACGGAGACTTGGTTATCGAGACCTGCGTCACGCGCACACTGACTCCGGCGTTGACTCTTGAGCAAGGGCTTCAAAAGATCAATGAGGTAGTTGAAGAGTTCAAGCTCAATCCTCCTTCTACTCCTAGTGGATTTCATAGGTTTCAGGTAATCAAATCTCTATTCTTTTGATTTTATTGGTTAGTCGTACAATGTACGCTGAATTGTGAATTTCACAGGTGGCTGTGCCGCCGAGTGCCAAAGCCTTGAACTGGTTTTGCAGTCAACCGGAGTCGTCTGCTGTTTATCCTCTGTTTTTCATCTCCAAGGATACAGAAAATCCGAGTTTAAAATCGCTGTATGTGAATGAAACCCGAGGAGTTTTTGGAATTGGTGCCGCAGTTTACTATACTCCGTCGTCGTTTTCTTCTTCTTCTTCTAGGATCAAGAGGTTCGTTTATGTCCCTCTTCTCTGTTGCATTCTCTTTTATATAATCAACACTACGATTTTTATCATCGAAAGTTTGCATTTTGTTATGTGTGCTATTTTAAAAATATATGCATGTTTTTTTCTTTCAGATATTTATCAAATGAGTCAACCTCTGCAATAGCTTACGGTTTTATGGATAAGTATTACGACCAAGAGTCATCTTTCATGAAGCATGAAGCAGGCTCGTATTACTTTTTTGTTCCTCAGGTAAACTTGTGTGCTTGTTGATTTGACTATTTAGTTATTTTCACTTTCAAAATTTAGGATTGCGAATGGTTGAAGTTGATGGCTGTGCGGTTGAACTACAGTGAACATAACATTACTACTATTTAACATTAAGAATATTATTTTTAACAGATTGAGTTACATGAGTATGAGGGCACTTCTATTTTAGCAGCAACAATTGCTTGGAGTGACTCTTCCCTTTGTACATTTGAGGACGCCATTCATTCTTATGAGTTATGTTTCAACCAGGTATTCTGTGGTTGTAGTCTCTCTTTTTCAACCGTGCTTATGTATCTTTTCATTTTGGTAGGCTTATTTTTCCTACTTATGATGTTGACTATGATATGCCTTTTCAGGCCAGTTGTCATATTTGGCCCACAGCAAAGAGCAACCACACCACGAATATAAGATGTACTCTTAGAAAGCTCAATCTTGAGGAGGATGGAACTATTCCCATGGTATAGAGATCAAGATTTTGGATAATATAAGTAGTGTTTCCCATTGCAATAATGTAATAGTTTCCATTAAATAATGTTGAAATTGATAAACGTGGACAATCTAAACTCTTTGTTACAAGCTTACAACTCAAATTATCCCTAAAAGTTTGGGTTGGAATTTTGTCAAGGATTTTATATTTATTTGGCTGTCAGGTTTTTTTGGTTTCCATTTCTGAGTGACAAGGTTTTGTAGGTATACATGAATGCTCTGTCATCAAGAAGAAAATATGTTGTGGCTGACATCATGGCACTGGTATCCTCCCTTTCCTGGTAATTGTTCATTTTCATCTGTGGGGTTGCACTTACTATTCGTGTCTCAGATAGGAAATTAATATTGTTCCGTTAGTGTTTATTTATTTATTTATTGAAGTTGAACATTCTTAGGCTGATTGTTTTAATGTCATTTACCTTTTTTGCAGAAAGAGGCTCCATCTTCCTGCCAGTTTTGTATCAGGCTTTCACCTACCATTGCTGTTGCTAGTAACATGGTATGATACTGTCGTGTTAGTAACTTTAGGAAAGCATAGGTTCATAAATACTTTGAATGCTTATGAGCAATGGAAGTCAAAAAGACATCTTGGCAGAAGACATGATACCTGCTTTATATGCTTAAATTGAGTTTTTATTTTAATATTGTTGGAGGGAGCAAACTTGGGTGAATATTGTTCAGGATTTATGTCTCTTTCTACTCAGCTGGATCAAGCCCATAAAATGTGTTACTCAGTTCAAGATTGTGCCAACATCAATACTGTTTGGGCATCGCTTATAATTGAAGAATGTTGTCGACTTGGTTTGACGGTGAGATTAAGTATTTATAAGTCTATCTATTTCTGAATGTGGTACATTTGCCTAATTCATTCTTAATCTTCATTCTAGTATTTTTGTGTAGCTCCAGGATCAAGATCATCCCCTCTTGCTGTTGCTGCTTCTACTCATCCTCTTATTACTTGTATTGTATGCTTCGATGAGCGCTCACTTGCATTTCATGCTGTTGGTTATGCAAGAGGATCTCACAAACCAGCAGTAGTCATAACATCATCTGGAACTGCAGTTTCAAACCTTCTTCCTGCTGTAAGTTTACTCAAAATTAATCCTAAATGTGTCATCTATTTTCTGCAACTGAAATACAAGGCTTTTTCAGTGATTAAAAAATGTTTATTTATTTATTTAATTTTGTTCCTCTCTATTCTGCAACTTTGTGTTATGGTATTCAACTACTTGGCCTTCTAGAATACTTTTGCATAGTCTCGCTCTGGTTTTTTCATGCTGGAAAATGTTCTCATCCCAATTTTACAAGTCGGTGTTCACCATATATGTGTTTATGATGCAAACTGTATGATTTTATTTCTGTGTATGGCACTTTCTTAATTTTCTGCTGTTCACATAATATTGAAAAAAATGTCCAGGTGGTTGAGGCTAGTCAAGATTTCGTACCGCTCCTATTGCTCACAGCTGACCGTCCTGCAGAATTGCAGGATGCTGGGGCAAACCAAGCAATCAATCAGGTATTTAAAGTACATGTTATTTAGTAGTATTTTTATTTTTTGGTATATAAATATGCATATGCCTATGTAGTATTTGTGTGTGATATACTGATTATACTCTTAAAATTGAACGACTATGAATTTCATGGTTGTAAACCATCTTACAGTTGTAATTTCATCAGAGCATAGAGGCTGATGGCAAATAAAGGAAGTTTAGGCCTTGTTGAGTTAGAGTTATTTATTTACACGGTGACCTAGTGAACATACTTCATTTCTGTAATAGATACATCCTAATTCTCTATATAAGCAAAACATTTTAATGTAGAATTGGTACTAAGATGAAGTTGCATGTGGAACTAGTTTCAGCATTGAGATTATGGATCAATTTTTTTCTTTAGTTTCATATATATTTTTTAAATTTGTATGCCAGGTAAACCATTTTGGTTCCTTTGTGAGGTTTTTCTTCAGCCTTCCTGCACCTACTGATCATATTCCAGCACGGATGGTGCTTACGACACTTGACTCTGCTGTACATTGGGCAACCTCTTCACCATATGGCCCTGTTCATATTAACTGTCCTTTCAGGGAGCCACTGGAAAATAGCCCTAGCAAATGGATGTTGAGCTGTTTGAAAGGATTAGACTTTTGGATGTCCAGTGCCGAACCGTTTACTAGGTATATTCAAGTACAACGTGTTCATGCGTATGATGATGGTTGTGGCCAAATGTCGGAGATTATGAATGTAATTAAAGGCACTAACAAAGGGCTTCTACTTATTGGTGCAATCCATTCAGAAGATGAGATGTGGGCAGTTCTTCTCTTGGCTAAACACCTTCAGTGGCCTGTTGTAGCTGACATCTTGTCAGGATTACGATTGAGAAAGCTTTTGACTGCTTGTCCTGAAATTGAAGATGATTTATTATTTGTTGATCATCTTGACCATGCTCTACTATCTGATTCTGTACGCAGTGGGATAAATCTTGATGTGATTATTCAGGTATGCCTCTTCCTTCATGACCCACCTTTTTCACTCAGCTTAGTCTTAAGGCCTCATTGTTAACCTTGTCTTCTCCTCGAAAGCATGAGACACCTTGATTATAGTTGAGGGCAGGTGAAAGTGCAAATGCAGTAGTTTTTTCAATGTAAGAGTATTTGCAAGTCAGCAATCCTGGAAAAAAGAACTTCCTTCTATTCTATATAGCATGAAACTTAAGTTGATGATGAAAAATGTTAGAATCCGAGGAGTATTTTACTCAGTGGATTTGATGAATAAGTAACTGGTTGTTACAAAAAGGCATCAGAAACATGCAACTTAATAAATGTCACTGCATTCATAAAGAAGACTAAAGCAACTAAAAATTACAAAATATAAATAAATAAATAAATTATAATATTGATTACTTGCATTTAGAGAGACATTCTGGTAGTTTAGCATGGGCTAAATGATATTCTTGAACCCTGTGGAGGAGTTAAGATTTACATAAATCCTGTAACCATGGTTGTGGAGCATAGACTACAGATGCCAATTGCATGAGGAGCTGTTTTCTTTTTCTGTTGATTTAACGCTTTGATTTGTTTTACAAACAGATTGGGAGTAGGATTACAAGCAAGCGTGTTGCTAAGATGCTAGAGGACTGCTTTCCATGCTCTTATGTTATGGTTGACAAGCATCCATTTCGTCAAGATCCTTCTCATATTGTAACCCATAGAATCCAAAGTAGCATTGTAGAATTTGCTGATTATTTATGTAAAGCTGGATTTCCCCATCTGAGCAATGAATGGAGCGCTTATCTTCGAATGCTAAATGCGATGGTAATGGATCACAAGAATGTGGCTCTAAATTTTATGTCAAATATTTGGTGATTTTTGTGGAATAATAAAACCTCTTTTTTCTATTTTTCTTTACTGGGTTTTCCTTTGTAACTCTTTTCCTATACTATAGGTTGCAAGGGAGTTGTCATTTCAAATTTATGCCACAAACTCCTTGACTGAACCTCAAGTTGCACACGTAGTATCCGAAGCACTTTCAGCTGAGTCTGCTCTTTTCATTGGAAACAGTATGGCCATACGCGATGCAGACATGTATGGGCGTGGTTGGTCAGGCTGTAGTGATCGTATTGCAGACGTGACTTCAAAATCAGAACTACCCTGTCATATGATTCGGGTGGCTGGGAATAGAGGTGCAAGTGGTATTGATGGATTACTCAGCACAGCTGTTGGCTTTGCTGTAGGATGCAATAAACAAGTAAGTTTTTGATATTTGTCTTCATTTCTTGCAATTGCCCACTGCAAACTCACCTGGCTCTGTAAGGGATATAAATCAGCTAAGAAATTCATTTCATCATCACTGTATGGATGCTTGCAATAATTGTCAGCTGGCACCTAGTTCTTTTTCCTATTCTCCTTTCAACCTATACAAGTTTACAATGCTTCAAATTTGTAATATGTTCAGGTGCTTTGTGTGATTGGGGATGTTTCTTTCCTCCATGATACAAATGGGTTGGCAATTGTGAACCAGAGGTAGGATGCTAATCTATTTCGTTTTTCAGGCTTGTAAGTTCTGTTCTGGTACATTGCCCCCTTTTTTTTTCCCCCTTCATTTTTAAAAAAAATCTTCTGATCTTCCTTTCATTTACTTAGAACAGGATAATGGTTAGTATACGTTGCTTCTGATCTGCCTTTTGATATCGTCTGCATGTGTGTTTCTTTTTCTTTATGTTTTCTGATAATCAGTATAAATTCTTTGTTATTTTATTGCTTTAACAAATGTACTGTGTGATGTAGGACATTGCGGAAACCAATGACGATAGTTGTAATTAATAATCATGGTGGTGCAATATTCAGTCTTCTTCCTCTAGCAGATAGAGTTGAGCCAAGAATACTAAATCAATACTTCTACACCTCGCACAATGTTTCAATCCATGAGCTGTGTGCAGCACATGGGTAAAATCCTTTGTATATATGAAGTATATGAATTTGTTTTTGCTGCTGACCATGTGATTCATGTAGTCATACAATCATACATTTCTATTTAAGATAATAACTAAAGGAAAAGAGCCAGAAGTTTCACCTTGTTGTGTTGTGTCTTTTGTCGTTATACTAATAGCTTGAGTTGGAGGTGCTTAAAGTTGCTACTTGTGAAGCAATTCAATAGCTACTTAAAATCAGAGAATAGGATTTGAGGGTGTAGGAGTAATGATCACCTACCAAGCAATGAAAAATCCTTGAAACAACATAGCATATTGGCAAGATGGGGAATGTAGAATTTATACTGCTTCACTAAATTTGGTTAGCCATAATAAAGACATGTATTGTTGTGAGTTGAGACTTGATCTCACAAGTTGTGAAATTCCAATAGGTAGAAGATCCAAGAAATATGGTATTTGGAAACTGACTAGAGAATGTGACTGAATATATGATTGTGATAGTTGAAAAACTGCACCAATGCTTACATTCTTCATCTTCGTCGTTGACTGACCATCAGCAATATGTAAACCAATTGTATCTTAGACTTTAACAGAATAATCTTTCAGTGTGATGCATCTACATGTGAAGACAAAGTTGGAGCTTGAAGATGCATTATTCACATCTCAACATGAAGAGGTGGATCGTGTCATTGAAGTTGAGAGCTCCATAGATGCCAATGCCACCTTTCACAGGTTGGTGGTTATGCAACCTTGATATCAAGTCATTGTTATCAGCTTATCAGCTGACTGCAGACATATTCTTTCTCTCTTCGGTACTTATCAAGGTTGGTGGTTTCTCTTATCTCAGTACTTTAAGAAGGTTTGCCTGCCAAGCAGCAGATCATGCGATGAGCCTCTCCTCGAGGCTTTCTGTTGAAGACTCAACAGAAGATGGTGCTTTACTTTACAGAGTCCACAGAATGGAGTATTCATCATTTAGGTGAGTTCTTTGTCGATGGAATAAATTTTGAATATTCTCTACATATGCTTACAAGGAAGGATTTGATATTTTTTTTAATATTTTCTGCTTGGGACAGTATACCACTCTGTGCTCCTCCCACTATGATTTCTGTTGATGATAATGAGACCAGGTTCTATAGAGAAGGGTTTATTTTAACTTTTTATCTTGAAGATGGAAGCATTGGGTTTGGCGAGGTTAGTTTGGTTTACTATTTGTCTGCTTAATCCACTCTTGTATTCTGTGATCATCATTTGACCATTTGTGACTTAAATTGAACAGGTTTCTCCTCTAGATATCCACAGAGAAAGCCTGCTAGATGTAGAAGAGCAACTGAGGTTTCTTATTCATATGATGAAAGGTGCTCAGATTAGTTGCTTCCTTCCTCTGCTAAAGGGCTCATTTTCTTGTTGGATATGGACAAACCTGGGAATCCTGGTAGAGCCAACTCTTTTTTGTGTTGCATATGAATTTCATATACTTGGTAGAAAAAAGCTGAAAATAAAAAGAGAATGAACATTGTCACTTTTCAAAAAGAGAAAAGACAGAGCTATGCTATAATTTATATCTTCTTGTCTTTATACCATCTTCAATAGAGTTATGCTTTAAAGAACATATGCTTATGACTGTGATACAGCCATGCACGCTCCTTCCTAGTGTCAGATGTGGTTTGGAAATGGCAATTCTCAATGCATTAGCGACAAGACAGGGTTCCAATTTATTAGACATACTCCATCCCCGGAAAGCTGAAGGAGGTATATCTGAAAATTCGTCAACAGTAAAGATTTGTGCCCTTGTTGATTCAAAGGGAACACCCACACAAGTAGCTGGTGTTGTTGCTGCACTTGTTGAAGAAGGATTTACTGCAGTAAAGCTGAAGGCACTGATCTCTCTAACTTCACATTGTTAATATTACAAACATTCTTGTCAACTTGACTCTGTTATTATGCAGTAGAGAAAAATAAATGCTTGAGTTGTGGCTTTCCATTGATTTTGCAACAGGTAGCACGTCACGGGAGTCCCTTGCATGATGCTGCAGTTATACAGGAAATAAGAAAGAAAGTTGGATACCAGATTGAAGTTCGTGCAGATGCCAATCGGAACTGGACGTATAAAGAAGCTATCCAGTTTGGCTCCTTGGTGAAGGATTGTGATCTGCAGTATATTGAGGTATACTCTGAAATTTTTGTTAACATTTGTACTCTACATTACCATTTGCCGTACTTGAAATTTTGATGATTCAATGTTGTGCCTCGCTTTCCTTTTATCTATGTACATTTAGGATTAATGATATTTCTCAATATTTTCTAAATGTTAGTGTTTGACCCTATGACTATTTATTTATCTCAGGAACCTGTTCATATTGAAAGTGATATTATCAAGTTCTGTGAAGAAAGTGGGTTACCTGTGGCACTGGACGAAACTATTGACAGTATCAGAGAACATCCACTTCATACGCTAATGAAGTATACCCATCCAGGAATAGTAGCTATTGTAAGTGGCAATTTATGCTCATTGGTATATTTTGCAATTTGATGTCTCTGTTATTGAAATTTATGACCACTTGTGAGATATGCTAATTTTACATTCCTGATTTAGGTTGTTCATATTGGTTGTTTCAGGTTATTAAGCCTAGTGTTGTTGGTGGCTTTGAAAATGCAGCAATAATTGCCCAATGGGCCCAGCAGCACCGAAAAATGGCTGTTATTAGTGCTGTATTTGAAAGTGGCCTTGGTTTGTCAGCATATATTCAGTTTTCCTGTTATCTTAACTCGAAGAATTCAGAAATATGTGAAATGATGAATTATGCATTGGCCCCATCAGTAGCGCATGGTTTAGGAACATACAGCTGGCTAAAAGAAGATGTAACGACCACTCCTCTGAAGATAAGTTGTAATCCAGATAGTGGCTCCGTAGAAGCATCTGTTGCTGATGCTGATCAAGTTCTTCGGAAATTTAAAATTAATCGCAACATAATTCATGGAACTTTTACTGGAGAGCAAGTTTGTGTATACCATCTGCCTGTAGATTCAAAGGATTTCTCTTGTTCCATCAAAGTCCACGAGATTGGACTAAGATATGATGTTAGTAAAATTTCATGTACTCTCTTTCTCTCTCTCCAACCTTTTCTATTTTCTTTTGCCATCTAAGGAGTGTACCCTGAACATCTTGTTGGCATAAATTCACATTTCTGCATTTTTGGCACTTGATATAACTACAATTTAGGATGGATACTTATGGTATCAGCTATCAGGTGTGTATGTGGTAATAATTGGTTGGTTTTCTCTGCTCGAGACTTTTGTGTGGAAGGTTATTGGAGTGACTGGGATGTTTTTGCCCTCTTGATATATTATGAGGGTAGTGATGGGATACAAGATTGAGGGATGAGAGGTGTTGTTGAGTGTTATTGCAAGCAAGTCTTTTGTAGTTCTCAGAATAAAGATGAGCAGTTAATAGCTAAATGGATTGCTCTGGTGGTTCTCAATTGGAACTTAGGGATTTTCTTGGCTGATTCAAGATTGGGACATGCATTTGGTTCATGCTCTTCCCATTTCTATACAGGGTTGAGGGTGTAAGGTTGGGTAGGAGATGATGCGTTTCATATGCATTGACATGTAGTACTAATCCTATACAGCATGCTCACTGACACCAGAATTAAGCTGATGCAGGATAATGTATTTGTATTTCTTCATGGGTTTCTTGGAACTGGTGAAGATTGGATTGCTATCATGAAGGCCATTTCAGGATGTGCGAGATGCGTTGCGATCGACCTCCCTGGTCATGGTGGAACAAAGATACAGAACCATGGTGATAACGATACTACACAGGATTCAGGTTTGTCAATTGAGGTGGTTGCCGATCTTTTATGTGAATTGATAAAGCATATTACGCCTGGGAAGGTTACTATTGTGGGATATTCTATGGGAGCAAGGATCGCGCTCTACATGGCTCTGAGGCTTACTGACAAAGTATGTCTGCATTTTTTAAGATTTTAATTTCAATTTGAGCTTATGTTTCTGTGGTGTTAACAAAAGTAGGATTTTGTCATGAAGGTCAAGGGAGCTGTTGTAATATCTGGAAGCCCTGGATTAAAAGATGAAGTGGAAGGAAAAGTTCGTAGAGCTAAAGATGACTCTAGAGCACGTTTTCTTATTGCTCACGGCTTAGAGCTCTTTCTGGATAACTGGTACTCTGGAGAGCTGTGGAACAGGTGATTTTAAGATTTTTCTCATTTTATGGTGTTTGGATTCTTCATGCATCTCTAACCATATGAGTAATTTGAACAGCTTAAGAGTCCATCCTCGATTTCGTCAGATAGTCTGCACCCGCCTGCTTCATGAAGATGTGCAGAGTCTTGCAAAAGTTCTATCTGCTTTGAGTATTGGAAGGCAACTGTAAGCTTACTTGACTATTTACCGAATCTGTGATTCTCGCACAACATACATTCTAAATAATACGTCAGGAGAGTTGATGAATCTTTTCACATGTTAGGCCATTGTGGGAAGACTTAAAGCACTGCAAAACACCCCTTTTGCTCATTGTTGGAGAGAAAGATAGAAAGTTCAAGACAATAGCCAAGGATATGTGCCATGAGATCAGTGGTGGTACGGTGACTGGTGATGGCCCGCCTAATGACATTTCCGAGATAGTTGAGATTCCAGATTGTGGCCATGCTGCTCATCTCGAAAACCCTCTCCCTGTAATCAGCACATTGAGGCGGTTTTTGACAAGAGTGAACTCATCAAACCAGAAGGCCGTTTAGAGATGTAATCTACTCATTTTTACAGTTTTCTTCAGAGATTTGGTTGCAAAAAAAGAGAGAAGAAATCATTCTCCAGAGAGTGATCGAAAAATCGCCACCTGAGAATCAACTTTTAATATTAATTTCTGAATTGAATACAACCGCAGACACTTGTTGGTCTCATCACAATTATTGATTTTTTTTTTTTTTTTTTTTTTTTTTTTTTTTTTTTTGCGCCTAGGAGAACAGATGTAGATCTAAGTCGGGCTTAAGCGAGGGTCGTCTAAGCACATGCATTGGCCATCAACACATTTGAGATTTGCCCCTGCACAAATGATTCCTTGGCAGCAGTCATGAACAACAGAGCAAGCCTTGCCAATAATCTGCCTTAGGAAAGCTAAAAATGGCAGGTTAATAAATTAATTTCCAAACTATGTGGATTTTTGTCTTAGATACAAAATTAGCCGATCGACAAAACTATTATTGAACAGTCAATTTTGCTATTTATATGTCTCCAGTTATTGATTTTATGGAACTTGGAGAAGAAAACTAAATCTAAGAAGACAGGCTCAAGGGATGCCATCTACGCATACACTTCCACAGTCACGGCCAGTCCAACTTTCGCCTATTTCAGGCGTCTGGACTATTTCCCTTGCCGGCGCGTCAGCCGCAAGGAAAACATCAATGCATGTGCATTTGTTGTCAATACTGTTGTCAATACAAATAACCCGGCCTTCAAAGCATTCAGTTTTATTGCAGTCAGCGGTAGTGGGACATTGTTCTTGAACCAAGTTGCTGGCTTCTGCTCTTGTTGGCAACCTTGATGTTAGTTTATGGGAGAAGAGGTGTAGGAAAATAGCTTAACTTGGAATGAAAACTTTAGTAACAAAGTAGTTTTACTTGAATGAAGCAGGAAAGGTACAAGGCTTGATTACTTGAGTTGGACAGCTGCAGTTTTCAGCTTCATTACTTGAGTGGGTTGCATGCTTATTTATACAGATGCTAAGTCGGCAATTTTGCTTGGACAAGTCGGTTGTACAGTAACCGATAACCGACTTTATTTAAGGTATTTTTAGCCACAAGTTAGGCTTAGTTTGGGATTGCTATCCTTTTTTTAAAAACAGTTGCTTCTGTTGTGCTTTGAAAATAATTAGCTGTAAAGTAGAGCAACTCCATGTTTGGTAAACAATATTTTTAAAGTGTTGTTAGTACAAAAAGCAATGTCAAAACCGTTTGGTAAATTTTAATATAAAATTGTTGTAACTGTGAATAATGACTAAAATAGACATGATGTTGAAAGTGTTATGTGCTAATCATGTGGTGGTAGTGGTGGTGGTGGTGGAGTGGAGGTGGTGGTGAAAGAGATGGAGGTGAAAGTGGTGGTGGTGATGACGATGGAGTTGGTGGTTGTGATAGTGGATGTGGAGGTGGTGGAGGAGGAGGTAGTGGTGGATGTTGGTTGTGGAGGATGTGAACGTGGTGGTTGAGTTGGATGTGGAAGTGGAGGTAGTGTCATTTTTTTAAATGAATAATGGTATTTTGATAATTAAAAAAAATTCATTAAAGGCTCATCTCTGCTTCTTTTGAAAGTAGTTTTGAAAAGTAACCCAGCACCTGCTTTTAAAAGCTGCTGTTAAAAGGCCACTACTTTTAAAATAATCATGATATTTTATTTTTACCAAACACCTTAAATTGAATAACTTTAAAGTGAAACAGATTTTTGGCCAAATAATTCTTGAATTCTCTAGTTACAATTAGAAAAGAAAATTATTAGGATGGTTCTAGTAAGAGTCAACCATCTTTTACATAGTAATTCTCTCAATTATTCTAGAATTTTCTAGTTTTATCACACAACTGTGCGTTAATGTTTAACACTCCTTCTTAATGCACACTTGTGTTATTCCGAGCATGTTTCATAGCAGTTTGAATTTTGGTCTTGGAAGTGCCTTAGTGAAGATGTCTGCAATTTGCTCATCTGTCTTGCAGTACTTGAGCTCAACTTCTTTGTTTGTTGAGATTTCTCGTAACAAGTGATGCTTGATGACAATATACTTTGTCTTGTTGTGGAACACTAGATTCTTCACCATTGCTATATCAGACTTGTTGTCGCAAAGTATTTAAGTAGCTTTTGTTTGGCACTCTCCCATCTTCAAATATTCTTCTAAGCCATATAGCTTGGCATATTGTACTTGCTACTGCTACGTACTTGACTTTTGCTGATGATTATGCCACGGTATCTTGTTTTCTTGATGACCATGAAAATATACCATATCCAATTGTAAATGCATAACCTGATGTGCTTTTCATTTCATCCACTGATCCAGCCCAATCACTTTTTGTGTAGCCAAATAGTCTTGAATCTGTAGTAGGCTTATACCATATGCCATAGTCAATTATGCCTTGCAAGTATCTTAATATCCTCTTTGTTGCTCCACAATGTATCTGGCTTGGATTTTGCATAAATCTTGATAGTAAGCTTATCGCGTACATGATGTCGAGTCTTATTGTTGTCAAGTATAGTAAGCTCCCAATGAGACTTTTGTAAACTGATTCATCTGCTTTACTTGATCCATCTTCCTTTCTTAATTTCTCATTGGTGATAAGTGGAGTAGCCATAGTCTTGCACCCGTACATCTTGAACTTTTTCAATAGATTCTCAATGTACATGAAGATTCCATCTTCTTCTTGGTTTATCTCAATGCCCAATAAGTAGTGCATCAACCCAAGGTCACTCATCTTGAATGTTTTCATCATATCTTTTTGAACTCTTGAATAATTTCTTCATTGTTTTTAGTGTATAGATGATGTCATCCCCATATAGAGAGACGATCAATATATCGGAGTTACCTTGAGTTTTGGTGTAGAGAGTAGGCTTGCTTTTGCTCCTCCTGAAGCTTGCGTTGATGAAGTACTTGTCTATGCGGCTATTCCATGCTCATGGCGCTTGCTTGAGTCCGTACAAGGCTTTCTTTAGCTTGAGTGCATTATCTTTTCCTCCTTGCTCAATAAATCCTTGTGGTTGCTCCACATATATTTCTTCTTTGAAATGTAAACTTTACATTTGGCTGATAAATTCTCCATTTATTTTGAGCTACTAGTGTTATCAGTGCTCTTATAGTGTCAAGTCTTACAATTGGTGCAAAGGTCTCGTTGTAGTCTATGCCTGGCTGCTGCGAATAGCCTTTAGCTACTAGCCTAGCCTTATGCTTTTGTATTGATCCATTATGATTAAATTTGGTCTTATAAACCCATTTAACCCCAATGATCTCTTTGTCTTGTGGGCAATCTACGAGATCCCACATTTTATTTTTCTCTATTGTTTTGATTTCTTCTTCCATAGCTTTTCTCCAGATTTCTTCTTTTACCACAACTTCAAAAGTTTCTGGTTCTATAGTTATAAAGTTGCAAGTTTCTTATATATCTTGAAGTGATTTAGTTCTTTGTTATGGTTTTGGAGAGCCTTCATGTTGTATGGATGGAGGAGTTGTTATAGTTGGTGGAGTCGTACCTGGAGTATCTTCAGTTTCCTCTCTGCATGGTTGTTATAGTAACACTTTTCCTTTCAACTTTTTCTTCCTCCCAGTTCCATGACACCGATTCATTGAACTCAACATCTTGGCTTATCATAAACTTCTTAGTTATGGGATTCTAGACTTGATAGCCTTTAGATTGGGAATTGTATCCCAGGAATATACCGACTTTAGATTTTTCTTCTACCTTGTATCTTTTCTCCTTAGGAATGTTCACATAGAAAATGCATCCAAATGCTTTGAGATGCTTTGCTGATGACTTCATATTGCTTTAAGCCTCAATAGGAGTCTTATTTTGTAAAGCTTTTGTTGGGCATCTATTTAGCAAGTATACTGTTGTATATACAGCTTCTGCCCATAATGTGTTTGGCAAGGCTTATCATGGATCTTGCCATCTCCATGACATTCTATTTTTTCTTTCTAAGACTCCATTTTGTTTAGAAGCATAGCCAACTGTTAGTTGATGCTCTACTCCTTCATCTTCACAAAATTTGTTGAATTCTTTGGAGGTATACTCTTTTCCTCTATCACTTCTTAGAGCTTTAATATAGTGGCCACTTTATTTTTCGACATGAGTTTTGAATTTTTTTGAAGATATTAAATACTTATGATCTTTTTCATAGAAAATAAACCCACGTCATTCTAGTGTAGTTATATATGAACAGGATAAAGTACCTGTTCTTATCAAGAGATGGAGTTCTCATGGGTCCACAAACCTCTGTGTGCACAAGCTCCAACAAAGCCTTAGCTCTCCAAGCCTTTCCAGATGGATATGCTTATCGATGTTGTTTGTCAAGTTGGCAACCTTCACAGACATCATGGATATCTTTTATGTTTGGAAGGTCTCTCATCATATTCTTTTGATAAAGAGTTTTTAGTGCATAAAACTTAAAGTGGCCAAATCTTCTACTCCATAAACATGAATCTTCTACTTCTGCTTTCATGTGGTTGTGGCTTTTACAAATTGCCATTGGATGGGAAACATTTCTATTTTCCATCTTTACTTTTGTTATTATGTGATTTTTATTTTTTTAATCGAATATTGTGCACGAGTCTCTAGAAAAGTGCAGAGAGTATCCATTTTCAATCATTTGTACAACACTTACTAGATCATGCTCCAGGCTAGATACTAGTAGAACATCTTTAATATATTTAGTTCCTTTAGGCCATGTTTGGTATGCCTCACTAAACTGGACTGGGTTAAATAGCACTCGAAACCCTTGTTTGGTAAGAGACGAGACTAACTTAAATGCGACTGTATAGTCCAATAGGGAAAAAAAGGCATCACTCGCTCGTCTAATACAGTGAGCCTGAAAAGTGGTTCGCTAAATAGAACACGTGAGTCTGACGCTTCACTTTAAAAAAATATCATAATTTTATTTTTTTCGTTTAATTATTGTTTTAAATCTTTGAATGGGTTTTTTTTTTTTGCAGCATTTATTTATTTTAGATAAAAATCCTTAAAATATTACAATAATATTTTTGATATTGCATTTGGAAAATCAAACTTTAGTAATTTACAAATGTTTGATATTGAAACAAGTTTAATAATTCATGATGTGATGCTTTCTTTATTGCAAGCAATTTTTACCTTGTCAAATTATATTTTTCAGTTTGAAGTCAAAAGTCAAAAATACAAAAATTATACATATATATATATAATTTTTTAAATTATTTTTTTACTTGGTCCTTAAAAAACCTAGAATTATATAGAGTGAGCTTAGCTCTTTTAACAATTTTTCGACCAACTAAGATTAATCTTGAGGTGCCAAAAAATAAATATCATAATTTTATTCTTCATTTAAAAAAAAAAAGAATTTTATTTGTTCTCTTTTTATTATTGTTTTAATTTTTGATAGATATTACTATAAATCTTTGAATTGGGTTTCTTTGTAGCATTTATTTATCTTTTAGGTCAAAAAACCCAATTAAATTTAAATATTATAAGAATATTTTTTAGTCCGACACAAAACCAAACATAAGTCTTCACTATTTTTACAATCTAGCTTCTTAGTCTGACTCATCATCAAACGTAGGTCAGTACTTAACCAGCTTAGGCCAATCCGAGACAGTTTCAGGATTTAGTTTAGTCCATGACAGTCCGCCATGCCAAACGACCCCTTATTAGTTTGGATAGAGATTGTACCTTTTTCTTTTGTCTCCACTAGTGCTCCATTTCCCTGTTTTACTTGGGATTTACGAACTTGTCTATGTTGGAGAAGATGCTTTCATCTTCAATCATGTGGTTACTTCAACTGCTATCCATATACCAATTTTTGTTGTTTCCTTCTAATGCGGCTTGAGAAGCATAAAGCACATGCTCATTTTTCTTACTTACTTTTAGTAATTGGCTTGATAGTTCTTGGTATGACAGTCTTTTTCCATGTGCCCAATTTTTTTTACAATTTCGACATTTGGGCTTGCCACGGAACCAACAATATTTGTCTAGGTGGTTTGAATTTTTACACACCCTATAGGGAGGATAGTTTTTCCTCTCTTTCATTTCTTTTTTTATTTCCCTAATAAGATTGGATTTATAATCTTCTCCTCTAGAACTTTCTCCAATTTTTTTTCCCCCTTCTTTGGTATTCTAAGACCTTAAATTAAGTTTTGATTGAAAGGTGCTTTCAACTGAATTTTCATTTCGCCTACTCATTCTTTTATCATGCTTCAAGAGAGCCCATTAGTTCTGTCATAGACCAATTAAATCTTTTGTATGTTCAATGATAGTAACTGAAGGATCATACTTATCAGGAAGACTTATAAGTATTTTTTTTCTACAATTCTTGAATCATTAATATTTTCTCTATAGGCTCTCAATTGGTTGATTATTTCTTTTATTTTAGTATAATAGTCTTGTGCGGTCTCAGAATCCTTCATTTTAATGTTTTCAAAATCTCTTCTCAAAGTTTGTAGTTTAACCGCATGTACCTTGACATTGCCTTGAAATTCCTCCTTTAAGGTATTCTATGCTTCCTTTGCAGTTGTGACTCCCATAATCCTTGGAAAAGTCGTATCATGCAAGGCTTGTTGCAAGGCATATAAGGCCCTTGCATCTTTTTGTTGATCCTTCTTTAGTTGCCTCAACTGTTCCACGGTCAGATTTTCTGGATTATTGAAGCCACTATCAATTATGTCTCATAAATCTTGAGACATAAAATAGGTCCTCATTTTAATATTCTAGAATCATAGTTTTCTACGGTGAAAATAGGAAGAGGGACAGAGTTTTGGCTAGTGGTAGACATGATGAAGGACTTGAGTGAACCAACGCCCAAGGTTGATCGGAACAAGCTCTGATACCACTGTTGGTATATGGGAGAAGAGGTTTAGGAAAATAACTTAACTTGGAACGAAAAACTTTTGAAAGAGTAACAAATTAGTTTTATTTGAATGAAGCAGGAAAGGTACAAGGCTTGATTACTTGAGTTGGACAGCTGTAGTTTTCAGCTTGATTACTTGAGTGGGTTGCATGCTTATTTATACAGATGCTAAGTCGACAATTTTGCTTGGACAAGTCGGTTGTACAGTAACCGACTTTATCTAAGGCATTTTTAGCCACAAGTTACTCCTATAATTCTAGAATTCTCTAGTTACAATTACAATATATAATTATTAGGATGGTTCTAGTAAGAGTCAACCATCTTTTACTTAGTAATTCTCTCAATTATTCTAGAATTTTCTAGTTTGATAATAATGCTACACCTGCAACCAAGAAGACGACCCAGCTCATCATACCTAAATCCATGTTTTAATGATTTTTGTGACACGTTAGGGTTAATCTGAATATCAGGGTTTACTTTGTATTGCACTGAGTACGTAAGTGAGGTCTCTTGGGTTGTATCTATTTGTAGGGGTTCACACACTCAGGGACGGATCCAGGAATTACAAATCGGGTGGGCTAAATTTACCTTAAGTACAAATGTATTAAGAAAATTTGGTGAGTTTTGTGGATTTTGGTTGGTTTTTGTAGATTTTTAGGCTTGGATAATAGATTTTAGGAACTAAAAACTAGAGTTAACCCACATGGGGTGGCTAAATTTTTTTTGGGTAAATCATAAGCCCTAGTTTGTTATGTTTTTATTTTATATAAGCACTCTTTTTTCAGTATATTTTCTTTATCGTATTTAGAACTTTTTGTTTTTATACGACATTTGAAATAGAGAAAATGTTAGAATTATTGATAATATTGGGATTGAAGGGAAACAA